CCTGGGGAGCGCCGGGGAACGCCCGGGGCGGGGGATTGGCGGCGAGGCAGAACAGCTGCACCGGCGGTGGGCGATCGCGGCGGATGTTGGAATAATCATAAAAAACTCCCAAATGGTTAAACATAGTCGGAAAATGCAGGAGGGGGAGGAAGAAGACTGACAGGGTGGCCGCTAGGGTCCGGTTCCTTTCGCAAGCACGTCGGTCCTTGTAGGGCGAGCCTGACTGGGGAACAAAAATTCCGCCGTGCTTCTGCTTTTCCTCCTCCTCCGCCTTCTCCTCCTCCTCCTCCTGCTCCTCCTCCTCCTCCTCCTTCCCCCTCCTCCTCCACCCTCTCCTCCTCCTCCTCCTCCTCCTCCTCCTCCTCCTCCTCCTCCTCCTCCTCCCTCCTCCTCCTCCCTCCCTCCCCTCCTCCTCCTCCTCCTCCTCCTCCTCCTCCTCTCCTCCTCCTCCTCCTCCTCCTCCTCTCCTCCTCCTCCTCCTCCTCCTCCTCCTCCTCCTCCTCCTCCTCCTCCTCCTCCTCCTCCCTCCTCCTCCTCCGCCTCCGCCTCCGCCTCCGCCTCCGCCTCCGCCTCCGCCTCCGCCTCCTCCTCCTCCTCCTCCTCCTCCTCCTCCCCTCCTCTCCTCCTCTCCTCCGCCTCCGCTCCGCCTCCCTCCTCCTCTCCTCCTCCTCCTCCTCTCCTCCTCCTCCTCCTCCTCCTCCTCCCCTCCTCCCCCTCCTCCTCCTCCCGCCTCCTGCTCCCCCTCCTCGTCCTCCTCCTCCTCCCCCCCTCCTCCTCCTCTCTCTCCTCCTCCTCCTCCTCCTCCTCCTCCTCCTCCCCTCCTCCTCCTCCCTGCTCCTCCTCCCCTCCTCCCCTCCTCCTCCCCCTTCCTCCTCCTCCCAGGGAGGTCTGGGATCGAGGGTCGAGGAGCGCGGCGACGGCGGCGGCGGGCCTCGGCCCCGATCCGCGACCCTCGATCCTCGGACCCAGATCCTCGAACCTCTCTCCTCGATCCTGACCCCGATCCTCCTCCTCCTCCTCCTCCTCCTCCTCCTCCTCCTCATCCTCCTCCTCGAACCTCTCTCCTCGATCCTGACCCCGATCCCTCGCTCTCTGGCCACGACGCTCCATCCTTCGGTCGGGCGTGTCGCCCTACAGGCGGATTCTGGACGGAACATAGAAAATCAGCAACCAACATTCCACGATTGCCGAAACATGCTCACAAATTCGTCCCCAGACAATTTTTTTTACTCTTCTTGAACCTTCCTCCTGCACAGGGACGTGCACGACGCAACTCCATCCCCAGTCCTCGACCTCTGTCCCTAAGTAGATGGGGTCGGAGGAGATCGCGCCGCATCGCCGATACCTCGAAGATGCATCGCCGATACATCCTAGAGTCCCCGCTCCTGACCTTATGTCGCATCCTCGGGGGACCTTGTCTGTCCCGTCGCGGCCCTGTCCGCGTCGAATCCGTGCCGAATCCATGTCGGACGCGTCAGATCCGTGTCGAATCCGTGTCGAATCCGCGTCGCATCCGCGCCAAATCCGCGTCGAGAACGCACGGGGCCCGCGTCGGGCACACGAAAAGACAACAAGTTTGGGGACGAGCGAGGTCCCCCGAAGATGCAACGCAACTGACCCCGAGCCCCCGACCGTGGAACCTCTGTGCTCGAGGGCCGCGCGGCGGCGCGCCTCCGCGCCGAGCCCCCGCGGGGGCGGTGGGCGCGGCACCCGCCGCCTGGCCCGCGGCGCCCCGCGACCGGAGCGGCGGGCCGCCCGCGCTCCGGCGGCGCCAGCCTCGGGGAGGGGGCAATCGCGGCCAAGCAGAGATCCTCCATCTCATCCATCTCCTCCTCCTCCTCCTCCTCCTCCTCCTCCTCCTCCCCCTCATCCTCCTCCTCCCCCTCCTCCTCCTCCTCCTCCTCCTCCTCCTCCTCCTCCTCCTTCTGCTCCTGCTGCTGCTCCTGCTGCTGCTGCTGCTGCTCCAATCCTTTCCTTATCTCCCAGTCTCACCCTCAGGCTGGTCGAGAGGGCGGGCCGGGCGCTTCGCATGAGGTGTCGCTGCCATCGATGGTCCTGAAACCTCAAAATTGACAACAGCGTCATGGATGGATGGAGGGCCGTTTTCAAAATACGGTTCTCGCCTTCGCGCCGCGAGCACGCGTCTTAAACACTTGAAAGGGCTTCACGGATTGAGGGCGGGTGGTTTTCAACATGTGGCTGTCGCTATGGCGCCGCGCACGCTCGTCTGCAAGTGCTTCACGGATGGAGGGCGGGTTTTTTATTCATGTGGCTCTCGCCGTAGCGCCGCGCACAGTCGTCTTAACGATGTACAAGAGATTCGCACATTGAGGGCGGTTCCTTTTCAAAGTGTGGTTCTCGACCTAGCGCCACGCGCATTCGTTTAAGCATGTACAACAGTTTAACGGACTCCCGCGGTCAACTACTAGAAGCGGCGTTTGGAGCGATGTAGGACTGTCAGGGCGCAACAGAAACGTTGATTGGCGGTATTGAAGCCTCAGGGATTATGCTCTGGCACGGTTCAGGATCGTCAAGATGCAACAATCAAATTGATTCGTGGCGCTGAAGTGTCGAGAACGGTGCATTGGCGAGTTCAGGATCTTCAAACGGTCGTCTTCCAATGCGCCCCTTCCCTTAGTGAAAATGAATCCTTGTATGGGGCCTTTGAAGAGGGAGCTTGGAGGGAGGTTTGAATCGAACATCGTTCATGAATCTTGGGTTTACGCTGGTCCGGTCCCTCCGCTGCATTTCCTTATGAAAAACGTTTCTCGGTCGCACCCCAAGGCCAATCGGAAGGGCTGGCTGGGCGTTTCGCCTGAGACTTCCTCACCACTGATGACCCTGAAGCTGATACTTTGCAACAGCTTCACGGATGGAGGGCGGGTCGCGTTCAACATGTGGCTCTAGCTTTTAAGAATTTATAACAATCTCATTGGTTATCATTGCCAAAGTCCTGGATGGGTGTTTCGGCACGGTGTTATCTTATCTGTCAGGGCGCAAGAGTTACATCGATTCGTTGTCTTGAATTCCAAGAAATGGTGATCTGGCACGATTCAACATTGTCAAGACGCACTGGAAACGGTGATTCGCGGCGTTGAAGTTCTAGAAATGGTGTTCTGGCACAGTTCAATATGTTCAAACGGTTGTATTCCAACGGATCACCTCCTGCAGTGCAAGTGAATCCTTGCATGGTGCCTTATGAAGGGGGAGCTTGCGGGAAGGTGTATTGCAACATCGTTGATGATGAGCAATTGGTTTACACTGGTCCTCCTCCTCCTCCTACTCCTCCTCCTCTTCCTCCTCCTTCTCCTCCTGCTCCTGCTCCTGCTCCTCCTCTTCCTCCTCCTCCTCCTCCTCCTCTTCCTCCTCCTCCTCGGGCCCAGACATCTGGCGGATTTTGGTTTCTAAATCCAGGCGGTCTTTCCCCGATTTCGGCCTCCTGGACCGTTTTCGGGGCCCGGGGCCATCAACAGTGGGCCCGAGGACGGAACGTTGTCCACAGGGAGGGGTCGGCACCGCTGCGGGCCTGGGCTGCCTGCAGCCCTTGACCCGAAGTCCCCTGGGTGGTCTCCATAGGGGCCGTGGCTCGCCTGTGAAGGTCGGTCGGGCTCCCTTTGGGCCCGCGCCGAGATCTCTGCGCGGAGTCCGGCCGTGGCGGCGCCGCGGTCCCACGGACGGCCCGCGGGCAAGGAGCACCGAGGGGCGACGGGGCGACGAGGGGAGCGTGCGCGCGCGCCCCTCTCGTCTTGCCCGTGCCTCTCGGGCCACCGACGGTACCCGACAGCAAGTGTTGTCCCAAACCGCATCCGCGGCCGCTGCTGGGCAGGCCGCCGCCAGTCTCATGTAGACAGATGGCCGCGGCGGCGCGGACGGCGAGTCCTGCGCAAATTGAACCGGAACTGCTGTTGGGCATTGTGCCCATGCTTTCCGCACCTCCTCCTCCTCCTCCTCCTCCTCCTCTTCCTCCTCCTCCTCCTCCTCCTCCTCCTCCTCCTCCTCCTCCTCCTCCTCCTCCTCCCCTCCTCCTCCTCCCTCCTCCTCCTCCTCCTCCTCCTCCTCCTCCTCCTCCTCCTCCTCCTCCTCGACTCAAGAGGCTTGTTGCGCACGGGGCGGCGTCCGCCGGCGGGCGCCGGCGGCAGGCGGGCAGCGGGCAGCGCGCGCTTGTGGGCGCTCTGCGGGCGCCACGCCTCCAGCAACACCGCCCCCTGTCGTTGTGCGACGAGCAGCCCCAGCAATCTTTTGTCCAGGCAGTGCACGCGCGCAGCGGAACGCTATGACGCAATGTCGTGGGAAACGCTCCCAAGCAGACAATGTCACGGTGTTATGGTGTGTGTGTGTGTGTTAACCCCAAGGCGCCGAAGACGCCCAAGATGCCCTTGATGGCCCCAAGATGGCCAATAGCGAAGTGCACGCACAACACCATTCATTTGGGACGCTATTCTTTTGGGCTCACTGGACCCTTAGCCAAAAGTACTCGATCGGAAGAACTAATTCCAGACACAAGGGGCAAGGCCTCCCGGGAGCCAGGTGACAACGAAGGCGACTCCCGAGCCCGAGGCCTGGGAGGCAATTCCGCCAAGCAGGCCCCCCGAGGAGGTCCCATGGATGTCCCGAAGAGGCCTCCTGGAGGCTCCAAACAGGCCTCCAAGAGGCTCCCAAAGGGCCTCTCTCGGGAGAGCCGAAGAGACATCTAAGAGGCCTATGGTCTACGACTGAAGTTCGGTGGCGGGTTGGGTCGGTGCGGCCACGTGGTCGTGAAGTGATGTGCTGGATGATGCTGAAGTATGGCCCGGTAAGCATCCCAACCCCTTCTCGCTTTCAGAGGGCACGTCCCGCCATTCGCCAGCGTGGTAGGGCGGCATCATGCTGACTCCTTTTCTTCCTCCTCTTCCTCCTCCTCCTCCTCCTCCTCCTCGCCCTTCTCTTCCTCCGACTCCGACTCCTCCTGCGCCTCCTCCTCCTCCTCCTCCTCCTCCTCCTCCGCCTCCTCCTCCTATTTTGCGTTAGCCAGACCTGAATCCTACGATTGTGGCGTTCTTGCAAGAAAAATATGCAATCACGACTCGGCGCAAAAGGTACCTGGCGGGCGCCAAGGAAAAGGTTGGAAGGAGAGACTGCGGCAATAAAAATTATGCTAACGGAGTTCCCCACATAAAGAGATTAACGATTTCGTGGGACCCATTTTCTTGATGCCCTCCTCGCTTTGGCGGGGCCCCGCTGGAGGGGAGGAGGGGCACGAAACCATGTAAATAGTATGGTTTTCGGATACCCTCCTCGCTCAGGCGGGGCCTCCCTGGAGAGGTGGGAGGGGCACGAAACCATGTAAATAGTATGGTTTTCGGATACCCTCCTCGCTCAGGCGGGGCCTCCCTGGAGGGTGGGAGGGGCACGAAACCATGTAAATAGTATGGTTTGCGGATACCCTCCTCGCTCAGGCGGGGCCTCCCTGGAGGGGTGGGAGGGGCACGAAACCATGTAAATAGTATGGTTTGCGGATACCCTCCTCGCTCAGGCGGGGCCTCCCTGGAGGGGTGGGAGGGGCACGAAACCATGTAAATAGTATGGTTTGCGGATACCCTCCTCGCTCAGGCGGGGCCTCCCTGGAGAGGTGGGAGGGGCACGAAACCATGTAAATAGTATGGTTTGCGGATACCCTCCTCGCTCAGGCGGGGCCTCCCTGGAGGTGTGGGAGGGGCACGAAACCATGTAAATAGTATGGTTTGCGGATACCCTCCTCGCTCAGGCGGGGCCTCCCTGGTATGGTATGGTATGGTATGTGTGGTAGGAACTATGGTATGGTATGGTGTGTGTGTGGTAGGAATAATATTGTGCTGTATGGAAGATGGAGCGGGAGGTGGGTGGGAAGGAGAGGGTGTTCTGGGAAGACAAGAACCCCACTCAGGATGTGGGGAATAACAATAGTAGGCGCCCGCCAAGTACGGCAGCACATACCCGAGTAAGACCAGCCCTCGCACAAGAAGCACATCGATGTGTGTGTGTGTCCCCTCTCCCCTCGTGTCTGAAGTGCACGCCGCGGAGAAAAAAAGAGAATGCAGCAGGCGGCTAGACGCTGTGGCGCCGAAGCCGAGTGTGGCCTCGGCCGGTCAGGGGCGCGAGCTTGGCAGGCCAGAGCGGGCAGAAAAAACGTGCTGCCGCGCCGGCAGGCGCGTGGAGGCCCTGCCCTCGTGGGCGGAGTGCGAGCCTGCCCTCTCTCGGCAGCGAACACATCACCCGACAGCGTGCCATGGGACGCACAGAGACATACTAGTACTATGTGTTCTCCTTGGAGGCGCGCGTCCGACCCGAACATACAGTATACCCATCTTGTAGTATGTCGTTTCTCGAGCGGTGTGGCCAGAAAGCGCACGCCACGACGCATATACTACAAGATTTCTCGGTGCGCGCGTCGCCCCTGGGGGGGCGACGAACACATAGTATAAGTATGTTGGGGGAAAGCCGATGATACCCTGAGTCAGAGAGCCCCTCCCGACCCCGGTAGGCTACCAATCCACGCCCCCCGTAGATCAATGTGTGCACTTCTTGGGCTGCCAGCCCTGACGGGATGCAAGATATGTGCCGCTGAGATGAAGCGCAGGCAAAGAGGGTGGCCTGAGTAGGCCGTTCTGTGAAAGCAAGCGTACAATACGCGAGGGGGGAAAAAAAAACAATTCTTGGACTGCTACCCGTGTTCTTGTTTCGGTTCCTCGGGGGGGGCCCCTTCACCGTCTCAGTTCCTAGGGGGGTACCCCCGTCACTGTTGCCACCAGTGCGATTTGGTCCCCCCAGTGTGCGCACGAGGTAGAGAGGGGGGGAATACAAGGTATGACAGCAGAGGAGGAAGTAAGGAGTGTGTGCAATTCTTGGGCTGCTACTCCGAATGTGCCAACAAAAAAAAAGGCGCTGCTGTAGCTGAAGACAAAAGGCTGGCCTGAGTAGGCTGGCCTGTCGGGGTACTGGCGTGCACGCGTGCGAGTATCGTCGCAGGTACCCTCGTCTGTGAAGACGGTGATGTAATGCAGGCAAAGCTAGCCAGTGTAAACAGGCCTGTCAAAATACTGGCGTGCATGTACGCGAGTCATCGGAGGTTGGGGGGCGCGAGATCTAAGTGGAACGGAGAGCCCCCCACCGGGGAATCGGTTTCGGTTTCGTGTTCGTGCGTGCCGTGCGTGCGGGCGAGGCGAAGCTGCGTGGGCGGGCGAGAGGACAGTCTCCTGTGGCTGAGGCGCGGCCGGACCAAATGATTGTCCCTCCGGCAGGCGGTGGCCCGCGGTGTCCCGCCGGTGTCCCGCTTGTGGCTGGGCCCCGGCCGGACCAAATGGTTCTCCCTCCGGCAAGCGGTGGCCCGCGGTGTCCCGCCGGTGTCCCGCCGGTGTCCCGGTGTCCCGCTGGTGCGAAAACGATGGTGAGACCGATGACGAAATCGATTGTGAGATCGATAGTGAGATCGATAGTGAGACCGATAGTGAGATCGATCGTGAGATCGATAGTGAGATCAATAGTGAGATGAATAGTGGTATCGATTGTGAGATCCAGTGATATCGATAGGGAAATCGTTAGTGGGATCGATCGCGAGATCCAGAGTGAGATCGATAGTGGGATCGATCGATGCTCGACCGCGCGGTGCCAGAAAAACAGGAAGCGTGCGCCATCCCCGAGAGGCTCCCAAGAGGCACCCAAGAGGCACCCAAGAGCTCCCCAAGAAGCCTCCAAAAACCCCCAAGAGGTCCAAAAGACGCGCCCAAACGGCCCCCCAAGCCCTTGCAAAATGAACGATACAAATCCGCCGACTACAGAGGCGTGTGCGGACGACCTTGATTATCCGTTCTATCCTCCCTTTCTAAAACTCTCCCCCCCGTCGTTATCGCCCCCCCCCTCGGGTATGTAAATCACATATGATTCTGACCACATGTCCATCCTAAATATGAAATCATAAAATCCCAGGCCAACCGGGTTCCCCCCCTGAGGTTCCCTTGTAAAAAAAACACTATGCGGTGACATTTTGTTGTTCTAATATAACACTTGTTCGCGAATCCCTTGCAAACAATATGACGAAGTGCACACGCGCGCGTCGTCGCGCGCGCATGCCGAAATCCTTCGAAAACCTTCGGTGCCGGAAGGATTTCGCAATCTAATTTTCCAGAACACATACAAAAACATAGGGTTTCGTAACACTGCTTTCCTAAAAAAGCTTACGCGCGAGCTCTTGCAACCAAAAAAGTTTGTTTTTCTCCAGATTTTCACAACATGCTACCGAACGGTCGCCGCGCGCGCATGTCGAAATCTGTCGAACGCCCTTGCGCGTGTGCCGTCGCGAGAATCCTCCACAAAAAACGGGACGAAGTGCACAAGCCGCGTCGTCGCGCGCGTGCGCCGAAATCCTTCAAAACCCACCGGTTTCGGAAGGGATTCAAAATCGCGCGTCCAAAAAAACTACAAAAACACAAGATTTCGCAACACGGATTTTCAAAAGAAGCGTGCGCGCGCGCTCTTGCGGCGTCGTCGTCGTCGTCGTCGTCGTCGCCGTCCTCCCTCCTCCCGCGTCGTCGTCGTCGTCTACGTCGTCCTCTGTCTTTCCTTGTGTTCGTCGTCGCCGTCCTCTTTCGCGTCGTGGTTGTTTCCGTCGTAGTTGTCGCCGTGGTCGTCCTTCCTCCTCCTCCCTCGTCGTCGTCGTCGTCGTCGTCCGTCGTCGGCGTCTCGTCGTCGTCCCTCCTATTTCGTCGCCGTCGTCGTCGTCGTTGTGGTCGTCGTCTCGTCGTCGTCTTCCCTCCTCCCTCGTCGTTGTCGTCATCGGCGTCGCCGTCCTTCTTCCTTCTTCGTCGTTCGCGTCGTCGCCGTCCTCCCTCCTCCCTCGTTGTCGTCGTTGTCGTCGTTGTCGTCATTGTCGCCGTCGTCCCCCCTCCTCCCTCGTCGTCTTCGTTGGCGACGTCGTCGTCGTCTTCGTCGTCGTCGTCGGCGTCGGCGTCGTCTTCTTCGTCGTCGACGTCGGCGTCGTCGTCGTCGCCGCCGTCGTCGTCGTCGTCGTCGTCGTCGTCGTCGTCGTCGGTCGTCTTGCTTCTCCGGCCTTCTTGGGGCGCTCTTGAGACGCCCCCGAGGGCTCCAAGACGACCCCGGAACGATATCTGTGCTCGGTCCCGCATGGGTTTTGCAAACCAAGTTGCGGGTGGGTGGGTGGGATGATTGTGCGACCAATGGAATTGACAACTTCAAGTATGGCAAATGAAAGAAAAAAAAATCGACTCTACCCCCCCCCGGCGTTATCGCCCCCCCTTTCGGGTATGTAAGTCGTATACGATTCTGACCACATCTCCATCTCAAATATGAAATCACACTGTCCCAGGCCAGCCGGGCTCCCCCCCAGAAGGTTCCCTTGTTAAAAAACACTATGCGGTGACATTTTTTTGTTCTAACATAAAATTTGTTCGCAAATCCCTTGCAACAAACAAGACGAAGTGCACACGCGCGCGTCGTCGCGCGCGCATGCCGAAATCCTTCAAAAACCTTCTGTGCCGGAAGGATTTCGCAATCGAGTTTTCCCAAAAAATACAAAAACATATGGTTTCGTAGCACTGATTTGCTAAAAAAGCTTACGCGCGAGCTCCTGCGATATCTACAAAAACTATGGTTTTTCGTGATTTTCACAACATGCTGTTAAACGGGCTTCGCGCGCGCATGTCGAAATCTGTCGAACGCCTTTGCGCGTGTGCCGTCCCGAGAATCCTCTGCAACAAATGGACGAAGTGCAGACGCGCGCGTCGTCGCGCGCGTATGCCGAAAACCTTGAAAACCCATCGGTTTCGGAAGGATTTCAAAATCGTGCGTCCAAAAAACTTACAAAAACTAAAGGTTTCGCAACACGGATTTTCAACAAAAGCGTGCGCGCGCGCTCTTGCGGCGTCGTCGTCGTCGTCGCCGTCCTCCCTCCTCCCGCGTCGTCGTCGTCGCCTACGTCGTCCTCTGTCTTTCCTCGTGTTCGTCGTCGCCGTCCTCTTTCGCGTCGTGGTCGTTTCCGTCGTAGTTGTCGCCGTGGTCGTCCTTCCTCCTCCTCCCTCGTCGTCGTCGTCGTCCGTCGTCGGCGTCTCGTCGACGTCCCTCCTATTTCGTCGCCGTTGTCGTCGTCGTCGTCGTTGTCGTCGTCGTCATCCCTCCTCCCTCGTCGTTGTCGTCGTCGGCGTCGCCGTCCTTCCTCCTTTTTCGTCGTTCGCGTCGTCGCCGTCCTCCCTCCTCCCTCGTCGTTGCCGTCGTTATCGTCGTTGTCGCCGTCGTCGTCCTTCCTCCTCCCTCGTCGTCGTCTTCGTTGGCGTCGTCGTCGTCTTCGTCGACGTCGGCGTCGGCGTCGTTGTCGTCGTCGAAGTCGTCGGAGACGTCGTCGGTGTCGTCGTAGTCGTTGTCGTCGGTGTCGTCGTAGTCGGTCTTGGGACCCCCCACCCCACAATTTCTCGCCCGAAACCTACCGGGCCCCCCTCCTGGCCTGGCACCCCCACCTCGGGAGAGCTCTGTTCTTGGGACCTCCCACCCCACGGTTTCCCGCCCAAAACCTAAGACCTTTCAAGGGCGTCGAGGGCTTCGATGGTCTCATGACACACATTCCCACACAAGTGAGATTGCGCCGAAAACCGGGGCGCGAATTCCCGCACAAGTGAGATTGCGCCGAAGACCAGCACCACCGTGATTCATTGCCAGCGGCTGCTTCTTTGGCCGCTGCATGCCAGAGTGGCGCGGCGGAGGATGGAGGACCCTTCTTCTCCCCCGCCCTCCTCCCCAACGTTGGGCACACCGCGGAGCCGATCACTCTGACATCGTCGGGCCGGCGACGTATCATGGAGTGGAAAAAAACCATGTGGACCTGCGTACTTTCGAAGCCCAACATCACGCGCGATTGGAAATGCGGCGACAAGAATGCTACCGCGTCTTTAAGAAACGGCGACCGTACGTCGACGAAATTTTGCACCACTTTTGCCGCGAATTGTCCGCTGTGTTGGATTGCTCCTCCCCCCCACCCTGATCTTAATATTGGGCACATGGCAAAGGTCCCTTGGCGCCCCCCCAGGGCTCGAGACAGAACGTTGCACCGCCGAGCCGTGTCGATGAACCCGGGACCGCAGCCAATGTTAAGATTGGGGGGAGGGGGGGGTGGAAGCGAACATCCATTGCAAAATCGGCTTGCTTTCTTGACATCACCAGGTGGTGCAACATTTTGTCGATGCACCGTGCGCCCTTTGGCCGCTGCTACAAGGAGGTGGCACCGAGGGGCTACCGGGAACGGCCCCCCTCGCAACGTTCGGGCAGTCGAGCTTCACATCTTCTCGGCAGGCTAGAAAAGCGAGAAAGCCGCAGAGAAAAAGAGGGGAGCGGTTACCATCATTGTTCGCTGCTACACCCGCGCGGCTGGGAAGGGCCAACGCATTATCCTTCGGCAGCTGCTCTCCCTGCCCGCTTCCGCGAGAACGCCGGGGCAAACCTCCGCCACTCCTCGCGATCGTCGTCGCCTTCTTCTTTCATCCGAATCCCGTTCATCCGCCGCCGCCCTCGTCGGGGCAGCGCATGATGCGAGGCCGCGCGCCCCTCGCCTCGTTAGCTCGCCGCCCGCGGCAATTCCTCGCGCCGCCCCCCCCCGAATAAACCGCGAGACGCCTGCCCCGCTGCAGCCCCCGACGCAAGAAGCTGGTTTGACGTCGGCGGCCCATTGGGCGGCAGCCGCGAGACGCAGAGACCTGGGGACGCAACCTTCGATGCGTTCCCGACGACGGCGCCCGACGCGCCCGCGAATCGCCGCTCGGGTCGAGAAGACCCGAGGGCGGCTGCCCACATGGTCTGAAAGACACGGCGGGAATTAAAGAGTTGGAGCAATGTCCAGCGCTGCGTCGCAAAGTAGAGAACGGCCGATGGGATTATTTTTGCGGCGGGCGACTACGCCTGAAAATGACGCATTCAGCGCTGAGGGCGCACGGGCTGAAGAACGAATGGGGTTCCACTGGCGCGCCCCGCCCAACGCGGTGAAAGCGGGGGGGAGGGGGGGGTAAATTTCGCTCCGCTGGGAGCGGGCAAATGTGCGCCGCTCCAGAGGGGGGGGGTCGGCGAAGTAGACGCATGTCCCTTCCTTACGGG